GTGGACAGTACCAAAGGCAAGCCACAAGAAGTATGTTTATTCTCTAACTAGTAAAATTAAGATTGTGCAAATCCGTCAAGCGAGCAAAAAGTTATGATTTTAGAAATCATACGCAGAAATTTTGCACCAGCCTGATAGATCAAATCAAAATTAATTAACTTCGCAATGAATAAGATCGTGGTCGACGGAAAGGATGGCTTAAAGCAAGTAAGCCAACTTCCTTCATGCAGAAAAATTCTCTGTACTGCCTCCCTTCCCTTCCGATAAATAATGTTCAGATGACTGCTATTTGTGTGTTGTGCAGCCAATTCGATCATACAATACCTCTCGTATTTGAATTTTTATATATGAAAAAAATTGCACTTCGCCGGAGTTCGCCAAACTCCAAGTTGCATTCCATATCTTGCTTCAGAATGGACGAGTTCAGAATCCAAAAGCAACATTCAACTCACAAAAGGAAGCGTGTTTAGTCGAAGTGGCGTTTTTAAATGACTTATACCACGATAAAGAGCATTGCACGGTGACTCCAAAGCTGCCTTCATTATCTGCCAAGCGCCTCTCACGCCGACTTATGACCGTTTTTTGGAACGAAAAATGAATACAAAATTTAGGTAAAATCAATTGTTAACTTCTTTCCAGCGCTCAGATAAAGCAGTGTTAAGTATTAGCATATTAGACAAAATGTATCCGCGGCATGAACTGCTCTGACATCGACCCCGGAGCATTTGAGCAAATCTGGGCGATTTTGCTCCAATTTTGCGTTCAATTTCTTGACCCGAAAAAAGTCCGTAACTCGGCATCCAGAGGCGCTTGGCAGATAATGAAGGCTGATTTGGAATCACTGTGCAATGCTCTCCATAGCAGTATGGATCTCATCTGAAAAGCACACTTCGACTATACACGCTTCCCTTGTTAGCCCGACGAGATGCATCTCACATAAAGAATTGCCTGTTGGGCACGACAGTCGGTCAGATTTTACAATTTTTTAAATTCTCGCTCATGGCAGGTCACTCAGTTTTGATTATTGCACAACGATCAACCTACAGTAAGCGAAATTTTGTGGAGGTCCTTTGATTTTGACCGATATTGTCCCCAAACGGGCACTCTTATATATCAGAAGATGCACCTCTTCGAGCTGAGTTCAATCGTGTTTTTGGATTCAGGATTCGTCTACTCTCCAAAATATGGCGACGGAATCGGCGAATTCTGAAGTGCGGTGGTTTCTTTTTTCACAAAATACGAGCGGTATTGTATCTCACTTTAATGCTAACTAGCAAATTTTCTCTTTGTAAGCGTCCAAATGATTCTGATAGCGAAAAAAAAAAGCCTGAATAGACGAAAATGTTTGACTGTAAGCTCAAAGGCGCGCTCCATCCAAACTTTCGGTTTCCATTTATCATTTATAGGCCTCTCCATGACTCGTAGTTCAAAAACGAGGTGCAAAATTAGGCACAAACTCACGTGATGAGATGTTTCCCTTTGTTCATGTTTTTTTACTCATCTTTCGCTGTATGACTACCATCTCTGTTTTGTTAATTTTTAATTTTAGGATTAGGAGGATTCTTGCCTATTGCCAGCAATAGAGCAAGACACTCTCCAGGGCAACTTGAAGTAAGGAGTGAAATTGCCGCGTTTTACTACAACAAGCCTGCTTCTACTGAAACAAAATCGTCCACCAAATTTCTATTAATGACTATGCATGGAAGTCCGAAGAGAGCAACGATTGCGTACTATAATTTACATTAAATGTTTAAGAGTGATGTGGTTTTTTCCAAGACAACATAAAAGCAATTTATTTTTCCTGTGCACTAGTGGGTGTCTAACTTTAACTCAAAGAGATTTCGAAGACACTGCTTAAGAGCGAAATCAGTTGGCTAATGAGCCTGGAATGGATGAAGTCCTGCTTTGCGAGGTTATCATCTGGTTGAAGAATTCTGCTTAACTCTATCATTCCTTGCCATTTTCAGATGTCCAAGAACGCCAATACATGTTTGTGGACAGATTTCCCTGTGCAACAATGTGAGCATACCCTCGCCCTTCAGTTGAGTTTGTAGTTCTTTACAACCTCTGTCATATTTTGTATCCTCAATAAAAGAATCATCTCTTCCGATTAAGTGTTGAGATTTAGTTGTTGTATAAAAATGTGGCCCCTGACTATGTGATCGCTCAAGTCCGCTGCAAAAGATGAAATGCGAAGCAAGAAGATCGCTTTAAAAGATATATAAGGTTAAGGTGGCTCCGCCCAAACCGTGGGTGGTCGCAAGATAAACCGTAAATTGAGCTTTGACATATCTAGAATTGTCATAAATGCGCTCTTCATGATGATTATCGGATTTTCGACATTTATTTCTACTTCCAAACCCGAAATCGTGCTTATCATCTTCGAACCACCCACATTGTTTGGCGGAGCTACCTTAACCGTTCTACCATCTGGAACGTTTTTTCGCGTTTCGGCATTCATCTTTTGTAGCGGAACTTGGGCGATTACTTGGTTAGGAACCTCGCTTTACACAGCATCAAGACCCCCCCCCCCATTCGGGTGGTCGACTAAATCGAACCAATTCATCAAAGCATTCTTTTGCAGGGCCTATATCTTACTGGAAGAGATCAAACACTGAGGCAAATAACCTTTTTTGCGAGTGCAGTGATTAGGGCAAAGGCTTTTTTACTTACTTTCAATGAATGTGACACGACTACTTTGTTCTATCGTCAAGGCTTTCAAGAAATGTTGCAATTTCGGATGTTCATACCGGACGAACCAGTTCTTCGTCATTCCGATATCGATGAACTCGACCGATTGCTTAGCTACTATATTCCGGGTACACAAGGGCAACGATTACTACTTCGTTATTTTTATATGTTTAGATTTTTTGAGACTATTCCTATGTCGTTGAGTTTAGTTTGAGAGGAGGTTTGATAGGATGTCTTTTGGAATTATTACTTCTGGTTCTGTAGAGGATATTATGGACGTTTATGCGTTTATGCGACACATTGTTTTTTATTGTCTTACTGTTGACTTCCTGAACTCAAAGTGTTATGGAGATAGTAATGAAATGTTGTCGTTGTAGAGAAGAATTACGGCTGGCTAAATGCCTAAACACTCTGGATAAAACATTGAAGCTGAAGACGAAACTATTAGAAAAGACACGGCTGACCCTGTGCCTAAGGAAAACCCTGTGAAATCTAGACTTCATGATTTCCTGCATTGCTCCGCTGCTTTGATCACTATTCAAAAAAAGGGTCAAAAACGTCAAAAAAGATCGCAAGGCTTAGAATGGTCTGAAAAAATGTGCAAGATTTTGTTAGACATGACCTCTCAAACGCTAGAATGAAAAAAAGTTTGAATGGATGGGAGAAATTTTAGGATCACCCAATTGAATGTAGCATAAATCAGATTACAATTGAAATCACTTGTACAAAAAAAAGTTTTGCGGTTTTTGTAAGGAACACTCGGGTTAAACAATACCATTTGTCCTTGGGTATTAAAACGTTCTTGGACAACATTCTGTAATGAGAACCATTCAGGTAACTTAAATTCGATTGATTTTGAAATTAACTGCCACACTATTGAATTCAAGTTTTGGAATGCTCAAGCGAATGTTGCTGCCAAAATCTTCGAATTTAAACACTGCGTTCAACCATTACCCTTTCGCTACGAACCGTCTTTTACAGATCCAATACAAATCAAAAAAAATGTTGACTGTTTGCAATCACAACAACGGCTTCATAGTTTCATCTCGCGTCCAACATTCAAACTTCAGTGAGCTTAGTTAGTATACGTAAAGGGAATATGTTTGCATTGAACTTTCACATCATAGTAAAGTTTTCGCAAATTTGGAACAACTGAGGTAACAAAAGGAAGCTAAGTATGTAACAAACTACGCGATTTTTACTGCAATTCGTCCTATACAAGGAGGGAGATACAAGTATCATGCTAGACAGTGATCAATGACATCAGTACAATACCACTCACAGAACATGCAAAATTTCCCGGAATTTCGCGTAATTCCCGGATTTTTTGCATGTTCTGTAAGTGGTATTGTAGACTTGATAAATTCCATGACGCCGTAGATCAAACAAATTTTCAAGAAAAGGAAAGGAACCCAGTCGCATATATACATACAATAAAACATAAAATCATGACTTACCTGATTCCATTAGTCTCAAAACAGCAGAATCAATGATTTTTTCCGCTTACTCAGTTCTCGCAAATTGTTTTTTACTCTTTGCGTTTTTGCGCTGCCTGGAAGTTTTGATCTGGCCAGATCGGTTATGGGCAACTATTTAAGCGTATCTTTCCGTATCTTTCTTTTTCCGTATTCCATCTACTTCAATATGGACTATTTTCTCGAAATACTCCTCTCATTTTTTGATAAGGTGGGTAATTAGCCGTTTACAGTGAAAAGTTGTCGTATATTTTTCGAAGTTTTGATTAAAAGCAGAAGTCGAATGCCTTATATACGTTGGATCGAATCGAATAAATATTCGAGTACTCGAATAAAGTATTCGAATGAATTCTATTCGAATTCGATTATTCGATTTCAAAATTTCGAATATTCGATATTGGCTTATTCGAAATTTGTCAATTTCGAATTTCGATTATTCGGTTATTCGAGGATTTTGGAAAGTATGCGAACATTCGAATATTTGTTTTTAGAAGTTATTCGATTATTCGACAATTTCGTGTAATCGAATAACTACATGATAGCGTCACAATTTTGACTGCTATATCAGCAAACATCGTTAATTGTCCAAGTTGCCCACTGCATGGAGTCCTTCATTGTGCTAATTCGATCAAAATTTGTTTGAATATTCGACAAAATCGATGCAGAGTACTCGTTTATTCGTATTTTTTTCTCAAATATACTCGACTATTCGGATTTTTTTCATTTCGAATATATTCGATTAGATTATTCGACGATTTTTTTCGAAAATATTCGATGTTCGAATATAATCGACATTTTTTTGTTTTTGAGAAGACTCATTCGATTATTCGATATTTTTAATTTCCGAATATATTCGGTTATTCGATTGTTTGAAAAAATTCGAATATTTCAAAGTATAATGCCTCACAGTCTTTGAAAAGCAAATCCTAATTTGATGCTAAATTATATTTCAATTATCGTTGGTTGTGTGTGTGCGACTGATTTTTATCCACACTTGAGATGAAGGGCAAAAAGTGGGAACGATGCCGCACAGATAATAACACAATGGACGAGTCGGCTATAGAGGTAAGGTGGAGCAGTCCCAAGATACCATATTCTTGTTGATAATGCGAGTGGAGCACGATAAGGTCGTCAGGCTTTGAGTAATGTCACAAAATTTTAGGCCCAGGAAAGCCCTCTAACGACACCTCTGACTGGCCAAAGTAGAAAAACTGAAACACTAACTTTTAATGAGAGCCTGGAAGTTGCGAGGGCCATGGGAAGGTCAGTCCACGATGAGTATGCTCGAAGATCTCCTGTATTTTAATATCTCTCCCCTGTTGTCACCTACATACTGTTGCAATTGCTCCGCAAGAGGAGGCAACATTGAGGGATTTGGATTTTTCCGGGAAAGAAGTGATTAGGAAGACGGACCAAAAGTTGGTGGCAGTCAAGCAAAAATAAAAGGGTGGTAGTATCGTCGTACAATTTTTAGGGAGATAGATGAAATCGTGAATTCCTTCAGACGCAGTGTCGTGACTTTGATGGCTTTGATGGACCGTAAACTTGAAGAAGTGAGAAATAGACCCAATTGTGAATGAATAGTTAAGAAGTGCTTTTTAGCGAGTGCTCACGAAGATAACGTCCTTAGAACAGGAAGTAGAACAGATGAAGTTTGCACTGCATTTGCATGGGCCGAAACGGAGCCAATCCACATATGAAGTAAGTAAAGGTGGCATTTCGAAATCCTTGATGCAGCAATGGGATCCTCGGCACAATACGAAGAAGAAAAAAATAAGTCTTTCAGATTTATCGTCGCTACACTCACTCCCCATCGTTCCTGAATCACCAGCAGTTCACTAGCACGCCGCTGTCTCAGAATGTGAACTCTTTGTACAAGGTGAGCTTGCAGTGATAAGGTGCCTCTTCTTTTTTATCTTTTCAAAAATAGCGATATCTTTTTAAGGAGATGGGGTTACGTCCCATGAATCCAGCATATTACAAAAGCCACGACCTCATTTCCCACCAAAATCCGGCAAAATCCAGTATGAAGTAAGCTGACAGTCTCCAGATGATGCTATAAGCGTATTATGAATTTGCAGGAAGAAAATTGCAAATAAAGCAAAGGGAGGAAACTCTTCAGGGCATGGACGTAGACATTAGTTGTTTCATACAATCTACAGACTTTACTTGCATGGTTTGGTTTTATTGAGATGAGAATAAATGTGTGTAGCTGGACCAGTGTAGGTTGTTTCCAAAAATCATGGTACGTACATACCATGACTCGCAAGAAGCTACCTCAGTCGTGACTGTTTGAGGATTCTTCTTCACGTATTTTGTGTCAGATAAAGAAACATGCCGCTAGCTGCTGCGAAAATGTCACCAGTCTTGACAGTTCTCGAGTTAATTGTAGATACATTGCAACAAAGTGGCTACATAGTTTTATGGCAATTATATACAGTTATCCCATTCAACCCATGTCGTAGATTTTTTGTGATTTTAGCAATTATTGCATCATTAAAGCCCCAACAGATATCAATTATTATGTGACCATGAGACTCAAAACCGCGTCGCACGCATTGTCAGTATAAGCTTGATCGGGTAATCAATTTTAAACTTGTGATTCAATCAATCTTGGATTACAAATTCATGTTTAGGCATTGTGTGCGAAGCGGTGCCGAGTCCCTTAGTCACTGAATGAATAATACCTGCAGAAGCAGAACACCTTCGCAAACCTGTGTATGACATGAGAACCGGGAGATAAGAGTGTTCCGATTGCGACATAGCGCACTCGAATCGAAAATGTTCGGCATTCTTGGTGAATACTTCTGGTTTTGATCCATCTACTTGTTTTTGTTTACCTTATTGGGCAGAGGCAAATAGTGCGGAATTTGAGGCATTACGTCACGCTCTGTGAGATGTGCACTTTCACGGATCTTGTTCTTCTCCCAGCGATAAAAATCGAATCTAGACATTTTGACGTTAGCATGGACCGGCGCAAGATTGCTGCGCTACGCGGTAGCGAGTGTGGCGGAGCGTGTTTACGTCATGAAGTTTCATCGAAGATTCGTGTACATAAATTTCAAGTTAGTTCTGTTTATCACCTGGCAGAGTAATTGTTTTGAGTCATTGTACTTCCTTTCTTTGCCCTTGCGTGTTTTTCCGTGCTTAATGGTGTGATTGCAGCTTTTACTCATTTTATGATGTCTTGCATTTTTGCATGTCATCTTTTCTTTTTCAAGTATGTCGAACCCCGGCACGGGGGCTTCTATCCAGAAAGATCTACTGGATGTCTGGAGGATAGCTAATGTTGAAGATTTCCAGCAAAAATTAGTATTTTCTCTGAATATTCGAAGATTAGAACATATAAGTCATGTGCAGGACAAGGAATTCCAGGTATTCTTTTGGAATTGTGTGGTAAACAATCAGCTTGTATACTTGCAGAGTATTGGGCTAACGCCAACCCAGATACAAGACCTGAGGAGGGTTGCTGCTAATGTTCAGGAAGTAGCCAATAGAAGAAATACTAGTGGAGAAGTGGTGTATATACCAAACAATAATCTTGCAGATAATAGTTCTTCCGAGTTGAATAAGGCAATCATAGCAAAAGAGCAGGTCCAATGTTTCCATTTCTAGCAGATCGATAATTTCAGCTTACTTTTTCCAGATCAAAATTATGGAAACCATTGGCGAGGGGACATTTTCTGTGGTAAAACGCGCAATATGGTATCATCCAGGTGGCAGTAAGATTGATGTTGCCGTGAAAATCTTACGGGACGTTTCACCTTCGCTAGTCGAAGATCTTGAAGTGGAAGCAAGTCATCTACTCAAACTTCAGCATGCCAATCTTATTCGATTGTTTGGAATCGTACGACCCGCGATGATGGTTGGTTTCATGTCATTTTGAGTTGCCTTTTTTCAAGCTTACAATATTATTTACTGAATTTGTTTTTTTTGACATTTTTCGAGTTGCTAGAAATTCTCAGCGCATGTTTTTTACACTTGATTAACCGAGACTCACGGACCTGTTTAATCTGCTTTCTTCTGAGAGAACCGGTTTTCTTCGCACTCAATCTTTCTTTTCGTAGAGAGTTGATTGTCTGGGAATCTGAGTAATGTGCATTAACTTGTGTGCACTCTTGTGCTTTTTTGGAGGTAATAATGCGGCAGTAGTTCCTTATTTCGAGACGTAGACCCTCAACGTTGTGACAAAGAGCAACTGCGGTCATCCAACCCAGGTCATAAAGTTCTGAATCGTCAGGACAAAGCACCATTGTGGCTTTGCGAAAGTAGCTAATTTATCAAGCAATAATCTGATGCAGAAGGGGTAAATAATCCTGTTGCCGGCACCGTTTGGGAGTCTGCGCTGGATTCATGTGTCACTGTAAAATCTACAGGGTAAAAAAATGCGCCTACAGAGTGATTGTTATTAACTCTCTTGTCATAGTCTTTCATGAGGCTTTCGGTACCATTTTGTAGAGCTGGCCAACCTGAGTTCACAGTATAGAGTGAATCACCGATCGCTCTTCATTGCTGTAAGATTACGGTAAAAACGGTTATGGCGGTTAAAACTTTCGCTTAAAACTATGGCGCCGTTGTGAGGAAGTTGCTATTTCAAACAATTTGAAGGAAAATCTGAAAATTTGTATAGTAGGTTTTCCATGGACGCCGAGTTTGAAAAACTTTATACAAGACTAGCTGGCTTTCCCGGCTTCGCTCGGCTTTGTCAGAAACGATAAAGGTTCCATTTTTATCCCTGTACAACCTTTCCCTGTGCCCACTTCTATATGCAGTTCCCTATTTCTTAGTAAACAGATGCTCACCTATCTTCCTCACCAACCCCTGGCCCCGTAGCTCAACTTTGCAAAAAATCAATAAAATCGATAAAACTAAGGATAATTCTAGAAACTGATGGCGCTATTCGGCTATCCGGGCCAAATGTTTTTGATGCATCTTGCTCAAACTCGGTGTATGGGGGTTATTAGAGCCGCTGATGACGAATATGCATTTCGCGCGACAGCGCCATTTTCTGGTTTTACGGTGGGTACAGGTAAGAGGCACAAGTCATGGATTTCGCTGAACCTTTGCTTAGGGGGCTAATTGACGTGCTGATCACAAGTATCATACTTCTTCGGCATTTTGGGGCATTTTCACTGAGTTATGGTAGCTATACTGCAGAGGGGCAAAATCTCAGTTTTGGCTGAAACTCGGTCTAGAGAGATTGGACCTTCTGACCACGATTAAAACACTCTCCTTGCGTTCTGAGACCTTTTCGCAGAATTACGATAGGTACATGGCAGCGAGCAAAAACCTTGAACCTGCCTGTAACCTTGGCAGGGAATTACCTAGAGTGCTGTTTCAAGAATATCGTGCTCATTCCCCACGATAAAGACGTGTGGTATAGGGGTCACCCACGACTCTAATGCTTTCCTTATAGGACCACTGCCGCGTGCGTTACGCGTTGGGACAGGCTATCAGGATGGCGCTGGAGACCGCCATGCAAAACGACCGTTTCCTCATTTCGTGAATATCTGGGATCTAAATTGGCCCGAAGGCGAAAAAAATGTCCATTCAAACCATGCAACTCATCGTAACTTCACATTAATGCGTTATGACAGCGAGACAAGCATCATATTCATAAGCAGCATGCTTGTAAACCGTTCCATGTAAGGTTTTGAGCAAATCTGGAACTTCAACCCATCTACTGTACATATCGTAATTCAAGAAAATGGCGCTATCCTGCGAAATCAGCATGGTATTCATGTTCAGCGCGCCAAATGACCACCCTAGACGAAGTTTAGAGCATCTATATTTTCGATCCCATACGGTAAACACCATAACTCTATGAAAAGGTCTCAGTATGCAGAGAGAGTATGATATTCGTAATCAGCACATCGAATAAGCCCTCTGGACCGAATTCCAGCCAAATTCATGATTTTGACTTCGTACCGTACACTTATCGTAACCACAAGGAAGATGTTCCGCGGAGAAACTGTGAAATCTGTAGTCAGCATGCAAGATAACCCTTATAGACGAAGTTTGAGCAAGCTCTACGACAAAAAAAAATTTGGGGCCCGGATAGCCGAATAGTGCCAAACTAATATCGAACTCGTAATTAGCATGCTTGATTACCCCCCTGTGCAAACTCCCAGCCCCGTAGCTCAAAATTTGCAAAAAAAATCGATAAAATCGATAAAAGTAACGGGTAGTTTCAAAAACTAATATTTCATTCGTAGTCAGCATGCTCGATTACCCCCCTGTGCCAACTCCCAGCCCTGTAGCTCAAACTTTGCAAAAAAAATTGATAAAAGTAATGGACGATTTTAAAAACTAATATTGTATTAGGTCGTTCCGAAAGTAATGTCGCTTTTTTCAAATGAACGCCACATTTCATGGAATCAAGATTTTCGAGAGGACTTAGAAGCATTCGAAGCAGCATTTCATCCTCTTTCTAATGGTCACAATTGCATTGCATAATATCTAATGAGCTTTCGAATAATTACCAAAATTTGCGACTCATGCTTTTTGTCATGGTCAAGTTCGGCTTTTTTTTTCTAAATTTTCGTACCTATTCTCCGAAGAAGTACAAGTGACAGGTAGATAAGGCAAACCCTACAGGACAAAGAGTAATTTTTTTCTTTCCCTTAGCTTGCTTCTTAGAGTTTCTGGAACCAATTTTTCAAAGCCATCAAATTCCATATTTGATCAGCTCAAACCTCATAGAACAAAAATCGGCAAGCATCAGGGTGTCATTCGACGCAGCTTTTTCTCCTCTTTCCAACAGTTGTTTTTTGTTTCCGATTCATCAAGTTTTCCGGGATAAAATCATCTTAATTCAGGTTTTCCAGGGCGTCCCAGGCTGTGCCCGAAATTTTCGAAAATTGCTAATCTAAAGCGGTGAATGCCCATTTGGTTTGTAAAATTAGTATCAAACCATAATCCATCTTTGTAAGTTTCAAAATCCGACGATTTCTTGGTGTTTGATGCATTTGTGGCTGAGGCGAGCCTGCTAAAATTCAGTGGTTTCATCAAAAATGTGTACAAAAATTATGACGAGCTCTGGAAAGTAGAAAAAAAGTTGCGCTGCTTCCTATAGGGTTTGCTCTATCCATCCATTACTTGGACTCCTTCCGGGGGTTGTTATAAAAATTTGGAAAAATTGTGAAACTTGGCCTTCTCAAAAAGCATTGGTGGCAGATTTTGATGATTTTTCGAAAGGTTATTGGATTTTGTGCAGTGGTTATATAACCATTAGAAAGAGAATGAAATGCTGCTCAAATGCTGCTAAAACCTCTTACACATCTTCATTCCACGAGATGTGGCGTTCGTTTGAAAAAAGCGACATTACTTTCGGAACGACCTAATATTCGTAATCAGCATGCTCGGATACCCCCCGTACCAACTCTCAGCACCGTAGTTAAAACTGTACAAAAAATCGATTAAAATCGATAAAATCGGTATCGATCGATGACGAAAAGTTGCCTATGATACCCGCCCGGCCCCGAAGTGTATGTGTGCCAAGTTTGGCCCGGATCGGTCGAGAAATGAAATTTTCTAATCGGAACGTACGTACAGACAGACAAACAAACAAACAAACAAACAAATTTTTAGCTTTATATATAAGATAGTTTCTAACCGGTGTAACCACATTTTTTAGCAACATCGAAAAAACGGCTGCTATGCTTCCCTGGCATAACTTTATAAGGAAGCATCATAATGAGATGCAAACTTTATATTCATCAGAATCAGCAACTGCATTACTAGCGCAAAGGTTGTCAGGTCGTTTTGTTTCCTTTCTGAGCCAAAATATGATCCTCCATGGCTCAAAACTCTCTTGTTGTTTCCTTTCGTAAGTCTGTTGTAATGAAGAGAGATGGGTGATTCGCTTTGTCGGTAAATCTAATCAAGCCACAGAATGGTATCTAAAGCTCCTTCAAAGACTCATTGACAAGGGAGTTATTAGCAGTCAAACGGTAAGCACCTCTTCTCAGGACACCTTATATAAATTTCATTAGAAAACAAGCTTCATCTTGAAAGAGCTATGATCAATAAAGACATTCTCGATTACAGGTTTTCGAATTATGCGAAGGTGGAGAATTACTGACACGTTTGCGAGATACGAGCAAGCCTGCGCCCCTGGTTACACTTCTTCTTGAGTACTGCCTGCAAATAGCGAAGGCTCTTACATTTCTGGAAAGTAAGCATGTAGTGCACAGAGATGTAGCTGCTAGGAATGTTCTTCTCAGCAAAGACGAAAAGGTTTGTCATTGTGTCACTTTGATTACTGCATTATGTATGTACAGCTGAACATATGAAAACATGGGGGTTTGTGATTCCAGACATGAACATTTAATGATTTGTTGCTCGGTAGCTATCAGTAGTTCGGCTATTCCCAGCATAACTGTGTATTGAGGTGTCGCACCCAAGCAAAACAGCAAAACAATTTTTGAATTGTTGAGTCTATTTTCTCATCCAGGCCGATTTCAGGTTGTAAAATTATGTGATTTTGGACTGATGAGAAATTTGAAGGAAAATGAAAGGTCGTACACGATGCAAGGACAGAAGCGTGTGCCATTTTCTTGGTGAGTCATTTCTTTCATACCAGTTCATTGCTCATGAACTCCGGTCCTTTTTCTTGGGTATGACCTCATCTTTACATGCATGCACATGTCTCTTGCATCTGAATTTGTTTAGGTGTCCGCCAGAGTCGTTGCGGCATCGAAAATTTTCTCACGCCTCTGATGTTTGGGCTTTTGGTGTCACGGCCTGGGAAATATTCAGTTATGGGGAAGATCCTTGGATTGGTTGTAGAGCAATAGATGTGCGTTTTTGGTTCCAGAGAACCATTCAGTATTCTTATCAAGGATGTTCTGAATTGTTCTCGCGAGCGGCCACGTTTTTTATCTTTGTTTTGGGGTTTTATGTTCATTATAACTATTTCAACACTTAGCAATATGTTGTATCATATTGTATTATATTATCTTCTACGAGAATCCAAGCTTTGTGCATCAAGCATTGATGCTTTAGGTACTCCAGCGGCTTGATGCAGGAGAACGTTTGGAGAAGCCAAAATATTGCTCCCAACAAATATATGACTTAATTAGTCTATGTTGGAACATCAATCCGGATCTTCGTCCTAAGTTCAGTTTATTGAGGACTCATCTTCTCGGCGTAAGTTTGACATCTTTGAGAAGCTTGTCAGCCGGGGACACTTTTGTTTCACCAGTCATCTATAACTCTTTGTTTAATTATTTGTCTTCATCATTCCTGGTTTCGATCTGGAGTAGAAAATATGTTGTTTTTTTTGAACCCAAATTCGAAGGAGGGAATGAGTTTTACGTCCTAGCTTTTTTCGAGTAGCTTTCAGGACGGCTAGAAATGCAAAAAAAAACTCTTTTGGGTTATGTGGTGTTGCGCAAAATTTTAATTGCATATCGGAGCTTGTATTTTGAAAAGGCATTGAACTGCTAGGATTTTGTTGCGCCGCTTTCTTTTCCATGTCAAACGTCTTGCTTCGAGTGTTGCATTTGAACCACATTACGTTCTGTAAACAGCATTTTCAAGCGTTAGGTTTTCTTTTTCAGTGCATGTATGGCAATTTTTTACAGTGGTTTCTAAGGACTTGCGATGTCCATCTAATATCTGTAGACAAGAAATTATTTTATAGGTTGAGTTCAATATCGCAGAGGTTCGTGATGCGTCAAATCCAGATCCTAGCGGTGAAATGTTGGAAATGATGGCGCGAGATCGAGTAATCGTCATTGAAAGCAGGTAACAGGTTATCCTTTTGAAGTGCATTGTACCTGCGAAATTTCTTCCAGTGGATTTTTATGGTATGGCCAGAATGAGAGGACACATCTGTTTGGAAAATTCACCCGTTCCTCTGTGTTTGTCAACAGTAAAACTGTGTCCTCTCATCCACATCGTGACACTAGCGCCATCGGTGGTAACAGTAGAATCTCGCTTCCCATCCGGGGTTAGTTATTTTTTGTACGTTTTCTTTATCAATTTTTTACTGATTTTTTTTCTATGATTACGGTTTGGTTTCAGAATCGCTTTTCATTTATGGGTTCATTAAGCACAAATTGACGCTGTACTGCGCTTTTTCCAAAATTTTTGATTTATCAGTGGGCTTATCGCTGCTACCGCTTTACTGTGTCGGTGTCAGCTGGTCGTCTCAGAGCAAATGAAAATCGTGACGTCAGCTAAAAACAGGAGTCAAAAGAGCAGATTTGGGCTTATTGTTTTGTTTCCAGCCGTCTTTCTAATTTGAATGATCGTGGTGAATTCTTCATACAATATCACTTGGCATTTGGAAACCAAAAATCGAAATAACAGGGCAGGGCACTTGGGTCGTGAACTCAGAGAAAATGGTGAACCGATATTTGCGTAGCGTAGTTTTGCAAGGTTCTCATAATGCTTAAAGGCAGCGTACACCCAAAGTTTCACCTTCGATGTTTTTGTCATTCTGGGGCCTTTTCGTGCCGCTGATTACAGTTATGACATTGAAATCCTCCAAAAGTCCCAAAAAACCCCGATTTCCGAGGACCCTGTCTTCAGAGGGAGGACGAGTTTCCAACTGCTCGGCCCCGTCGGAATGCAATCGAAAAGCAGCTGCAACAGCATGACGCCTGTAGTTGCAACTGCAAATGCTGCGTATGCTGTCGTGGATCCGTCGTCCGAAGGAGGTAGAACGCAAGAAGCAATTGCATTGTTGCATCTGCTGTTGCGTTTGCAACAGCAGTGCAACTGCAATTGCAACTGCGACTGCAGCTTACGCTGTCGTGGATTCGTCCGGAGGAGGCGGAATGAAAGAAAAGGGGCGGAGTGAAAGAAAACTGAGGGGGGATTTCTCCGCTCAGAAGCAACATTGGGAGACCGGACTAACGCAGTTGGGCTTCTTCTGGGCCCAGTATATACACGGTATAGAAAGACCTAGAAAATTAGGTAACTTAGATTCTGGGTGTACGCTGCCTTTAATATAATCTTTACGGCAGCGAGCCGCTCTACGGTTGTCGTAAATTTTTCATTCCTTTTTTCCTGTCAAATTTCTGTAGTCAGAGGAAATCATTACCGAAGACTCGTAAATTCATTCTGGTTTACTTTTACAGGTGCTGACAAAAACTGTAAGTGTTACAGGTTCGTTTATACATGCTGGGCATGGTGACGTGTTAGGCAACTCTTCTTGGGGCACACCTGACAAAATTGATGATGTCTACTTGAAAAATCCAATTATCGGAGATCCGCTAAACCTGTGAGTTCTTGAAGTTGTTCTGTATGAATCTGTTATTTTTTCTGTGTTACACGTCATTTGAGAGCTAAATGAGCACAAGTCAAAGATTTTTGGTGAATTAGTCCAGCTTCGGGTTATCTAGGTCGTTCTTACCTCTCAATATTCACGGTTTTCAGCACTATGATGCCGTTGTCTGTTCCATCCGTGACGAATGTCAGTAGTACTAGCGAGACGGTTTTTGCTGGTGAGCTTTTCATTTATATGGAACACTGTCCCATGTGGTATATGACTGCTGTAAAGTTTGCTATGCGATCCTGTTGTCGCTCTCAAGGGAGGAGTGATTTTGCACTTTGACCACCAATGTTTTTGGGGTCTCCCAACTTTTTTCGTTGTTTTACAGAAATATTTGTGAGATTCTACGTGCACCAGCTAATCTCGCTGAATCACGAAACTGTGTTTTGCTTGTCACGACAAAACTTCGGTTCCAGTGCAGTATGATCACACCCTTTCCTTTTTTCCATCCCATAGCGGCGAAACTGCATAGATTATGGTTGAACTGTATAGTCGCTGAGTGCTGGAAAGGCTGATTTGCATGTCGTCGGTAGGCATACAGAGTTAGCAAGATCTGAGCCTCACAATGGCTCAGCAGATGATAAGTTTGGGGTATTCATCGTTCTTGACTTCCCTGGATAAGCTGAGTCTAAAACAGTGCTTTGCAGCTTTACAAGACATCGGTAACTCGTTTTTCTGGACGAGGGAGCTGCTGTTTGGGCGGGAAGCGGAAGCCGTCCCATTTGTAGAACGATTGGCTGCTGGAACCAATAATCCTTTTGCCGCCTAGAAGGGTGGGGGGGGGGGGGTTGGGGGGGGGGGGGAGGAGGGTGTCTCCATCCATTTGGACTACACGAGCCAATCGCTTTCTAGAAGGCGGTCTTTCGCATCCCGCCTAAAATCAAGAACGAGAAATACTTCAAAGTTGCCGATCACCCGAGCCACTGTCTTTACAGGCAGTGAGCGGGCAAAAACTCGACTTTGAGACTTTGTCCTACCCGGGCCTATTCGCTACGCTGAATTCGAAAATGCACATTGGAGAGCGCGAAAACGGCGAAAAACGGCTCTAATACAGGAGGTAGGGGAATCAGCAGGTGGGCAGGGTCCTTCCCCCTGTGGATTCACGCTCCCAGCTTCCGAAGCCATCTCTGTTCCGAACTCAAGTCACGCATTCGCACATGGCCGATGGCGATGTCAGGGCGGCTAGCGAAATCGAGAAGATCGCTCTGGAAGTTGGGAGCGTGAATTCCGGTGGGGAGGATCCCGCCCACCTGTAATTTTCCTCCTGCGTTAAAGCCCTTTTTCGCCGTTTTCGCGCTCTCCACTGTGGATTTTCGGATCCAGCATGCCGAATAGGCCCGGGTAGGCACAAAATCTCAAACTCGAGTTTTTGCCCGGACACTGCCTTCAAGGGCCTAGCATACATTACGCGACTTCATCGTTTTGCGATTCTTTCAACAAGACAACTGCTAGGAGAATGCATGCCGATCTTGCAACTTGGTTGTGATAGTTAGTGGCGGTCAGTCGCATTGAAAAACTATCACAGTTGAAGTGCAAGATGACCGACATGCAGTGAACTCGTAACAGTTGTCTTGTTGGGAGAATCACAAGGCGATGAAATCGCGTGATTTATACCCGGGCCTTTGTACGACGGCTGCGTTCTACATTTATGCTGTAAATCCTTCATTGTTGTTGATCATTCAACAGTCAAATTGAATGGCGGAGAATCAAGGTTTTGCCCAATCTTGAGCCAAAATGTGATGCTGGTGCTGGATTTTTTTTAGCAAAAGTGCTGGTGGCATGCATAGGACATTGCGATCGCGAGAACCTACCCACTGCATTGTTGTAACTATACGGTGTCCTGAAAGTTTGTACACCTTGAGTCAATATCGGTTCACTCACAAAAATTTTTGCTTAGCTTCCTGTAGAGTGGCTCCAACTTGTTGTCGGATTTTACAGTATGATGCGAATTTCCGATAGATTTTGATTACTGTATGATTACAGTAGGAGAACTTTCAGCATACACCGCCATTGTGAAACAAGTCGGAAATAGAATTATTTGGAAAGTTGCAGCAGTGTTCTCAAACATGCTGCTTCCATTGGAGAACTTCTAAGTTGTTAAGCGTGTCAAAAGTTCAACCACATCCTGCCAGCATAACTTTTGGTACACTTGAGATGAAATGTGCCTTCCATTGTTTTAGCCTGGTAAAGTTCTCAACTTAGTGGGTAAGAATTCTGGGGCAAAACGTAGCCATGGATGGCTGAAAACCCTTTACAAAGTTCCTGCTGATAGTTCGTCAACGATTAAAAAGTGTGTACATACTTTAGGACAAACTGTATATCCAACATGTCTGTGGGGCTAAGATGCATTCTATTCTTGAGTACCTTAAGGTTCTTCAACCCTAATGCCCGTTGTAGGTATGCCATCAACATCGAAAGCTCAAGCAAAACCGGACTATGAGGATCCATTTGATATAGCAGCTTTTGACGAGAATTTCACTCCCACTCGAATCAAGCTGCCTGAAGTTTTCACTACTGGTCAGTTAATCACTTCTTTCCGACAGCTAAGTATGCTCTTGGTTTAGGACGCATAAGTCCGTCTACCAACATCAGCATTGAACGACCACGACCATCCTCTTCACGCTCGGCAATACCATCAACTTCTTCTCCACTTCCTTCACATAATGGTGACTTGGTGAAAGCTTTTAAAACTGTCTGAAAAACTTCCTTGTAGGTTGGGAGCAGTCTGCGCCAGTGGATAGAGCGTTGTTCTCCATATCTCCGAACTTACAGGTAATTGAGAGTTTTGAAATTCTAAACACATTTTCTGCATGAGTGAAATTGTTTTTCTGACATAGCTACACAATTCATTTTAGGCGCCTATCACTCCAAAACCTACAAATGGCACTAGTATGATAACAACTCAACCCAAAGAATCAGGTACTTTGACTTAGAATTAGTTTTTGCAATGACATGAAATGTGGTTCTGATGCTTTTCTCTCATTTTTCCCACTTGTTTTCAAGAATACGACATTGATTATACACTCTAAAGCATTTTTAGAATGTTGCATAGTATGGTTTGCTTTTGTTATAAGCTAGCTAAAACGTACCTCAAAAAAATTTGCTCTCATGTACATATCTGTATCATCTAAGTTTTCTTCTAGGCGTTGTGAAACTGCCGATGCCCAAACAACCAGTCACGCAACAGCCAGTTTCGGATGCAAGTGCGACGCGGGACGATCCGTTCGAGGTTGGTAATCGGTGCTTCAAAGTTTGGATCATGCTGTTTCCATAAAAAGCTCATTCTTGATTCGACAGATGTGGGAAGAGAATAAATCGCATAAGAGTTTTTTTTTTCCTACAAAGAGATCGTAGTGTACAGAAGGTTTTCTGTGAGCAGAATTTTTCGAAGAGCTTTTTGTGCGCTGTTTTGGAGATTCATCGGATTTATTTCTTTGCGATCGCCGTATTCTGTTATGTTCGTAATTTTCTTTATAGATCTCCAGTATATTGAGTAATACTGTGCTCAGGGAGAGGTACAATAACATACTTGAGAAGAAGGCCGCTTTGATTGTAAGTGGGCTATTGCTTATATATCACAGCTAACATGAGAATTTAGGCTTCGCAAGCCAACACCACTATGCCTTTGCTTCCTTCTTCCTTTTCCGGTCCCAGCAATGTGCGAAGGTCAGAAACAGCTAGCGTGCCGTTACCTTCGTCTTCAGCTTCGGTTTCCATCGAGAACAGCGTTGTTCGGACCAGACCACACTCTAATATCTTACAACCAACGGTCCTTACTACGCTGAATAACAACAGATTGACCAGGCCACAGTCTGCAGTCATGGAAGGTTGGGATCGCAAAGAACACAACGCGAGTCCCTCTTTCTCTCGGGTTAGTCTTTGAATAGAAAAATTCTACTCTGTAGACATGTTTGCTCCAGGAGACTGGCGATCTCCCCATCCAAGCTCTCAATGATGTGTCGATGACAGCAAAGACAGAGCCAGGTGGTCGCATAGCGCCTTCGAGTCCTGTTCTTGACGAAATTCGAAAGAGACGGTTGGAGAGTGCCATCACAAGTGTGCTGCCACAACCTAGCCAGCTATTCTTTGGGAATGGCTCTGGCACTAATGGACAGGTGCAGATGCGTAGCAGCACACCACCTACTTCTCAGAATGTGGTACGTATCGCTTTACAGTTTACTATGAACAAGTGTCGAAGATTTGATGCGCGTGAAAAATTGTATCTCAGGCTCGCGTTCCTGCTGTCAATCCTGTTCGCCCACTTCAGCCAGTGCTGAACTTAAATGGTGTTCTTGAGCCCATACGACTGCCTACTAGCGTCTCAGCACGTACAACTGTCTCTAGTTCGCAGCCATCTTTGCGAAATAATCAGCAGGTCAACAAATTTCCATTTCCTCTTACCATCGTTAGAGAAGCATTCCTTTTTTGGGTATTTGCATCTTATTCATGTCAGTGGCTGACGGCGAAATGATAAATGCTTAATTTCAAGATCCCGAGCATGAGCAATCCCAATAGCCTTCCTGGCAATTCCATGGCTGCTCGTCCTCTCAGCCAGACGCAGCTGCCGCTATTCAGTTTGTCAAACAACACGGCGTTTCCTAATTACCAGCGTGGGGTCAACCCATATCAGTATAATTTCGCCAGTGGTATGTATTATTGCTTTATTTTCTAAAATTCTCCTTTCTTGTGTTCCACTCCTTCATATTATTCTAATATTCTAGTCTTCTGCAATCATTTTAGCTTTCTTGCGTTACGCTTATTATGAAGTCTTATAATAAGCATATCTTTGTCAAAGCTTCCGCATCTTCTTCTCTTCTTGGCTTCCTCTTTTGCTTTACAGCACACTATATACTGAAACGATGAGCTTTGAGGTGTTCCTGCGGTGCAGTTCAACCAGATGCGGAGTTCAAACGGCGTACTGCCACCTCGCTTGGAACCGTTCACTCCCTTCCGCGTTGCAGAGGGCGAGGACGTTCTAGAGGTTCTTGACCCGCTTTCGGTACGACACGGTTGCGCAGCAAGTCTTAGGCAATATAAAGTTTGTTTGAGGCAACGTCGCGAGAGAGGCGCACGACACCTACTCCTGCTGCTTCTTCATTACCAGGTTCCATAACTCTAGCTGAGCGGATGGAGATTTTGTACTCGGATGCGCCTTTTGCCGAGTGAGCCCTTTCTTCTTGCTTGCGGCGCCTGTCACTTTAAAGTTTTGCAGTCGTTCCCGTTGCGACCAAATGGTTGCAAAATGTCGGGGTGACATTGAGAGTGCTTTGCGTGAACTCAAAGTTGAACATCTTGTCGACACGCAGATCGCGGCTAACCGGGAGCGGGCACGTGAAGCCCTTAACTCCAAATCTTGGGATCTAAATGCAGCCGCAGAGCTGCTATTAATGTCGTAGTCCGAGGATGACATGAGGTATGAATAGTAGAACAGGAGGTTGTATCTTGACACAATAGCGCAGGTGTATCCGATTCTTTATTACATTGGGACGAACGGGCGCTTATACTTATTCTAGTCTTACCTGTAAAATTTGATCTGATCATGTATTTAATTTTCATGCGAGGTATCTTGTTCTGCTTACATGGTTTATTGCGTTATGTATGTTAGGTTCAATAATGTTGTGCAGACCTGATTCCTACGTGTCTGCCTTTCGTTCTACTTCATATCTTTTTTCCGGGTCATGCCTTTTGTCCAATAAGATTTGAACTTCGTTTGAGTGCCATACGCAATACACTGCGAGCTGTTCACTTCCTTCTGACTTCTTTCCAGCAATGAGTTTTAGACAATCAAAGTGTTTTGTTGATTGCTTACAGAAAGGCTAGTATACCGAGTTGCTGAATTTGCGAAATTTTTGAAAAGGCATACAACTAATTTATGCAGAGTCCCAAGCTGTGTAAATGCTCGCAAAGTGGCTCCTTTATTTGGCTTAACTTGCTTATATCATCTGCAGAATTCTGATATTGCCTCATTACCCTTGTCGGCCCATGCATGAAACCTTGTACACTTTTGTTCATTTATTTGTTGTTCACGTTTGGACGTAATGAGTGCGTATTTTGTGATTTTGCGCATGTTAGTCAGAATTCTGGCTCTTTGTATAGTGCGATGATTTTGTTTCTGCTAGCGCTTGAGTTGTACTTTATATATCGCTTGTATAGTGTGCCATATTAGCAAAAGATATCAATTCCGCTTATATATTTAGGCTCATTTGTTTTGTCTAGAATGCCTCGATATTTTTGAAGAGCCCGTCATCTTGTCGTACCCTCTACCATTATTGTACCCTCTACCATTCGTACCCTCTACTATTATCGTTACAAATTAGAGGAATCTCGCACAATCAGCACTTTAGTTTTCCACTTTGATCTTGTGTCCTGTGATATGTAATTATCAGTTGCTCCTTCAGAAGTCATTGCTTGCTTATCTTCCATAAAGAAATAAATTTTACAGTGTTATTTCAATACAGTGTTAGGCAATCGCAGCAATACAGTGTGAGTAGTACCACCTCTTGATGTAGCAAAAAAAGTTGCCTTTTGGTGCGGTTGATCTTTCTGATTATTATGGTCTTGGTCTCTGATTTGACTAAGGATCACGATTTTGTGTACTAAAAATATCGGACGTTTGGTTGCCAATAACTCTCTTGTCTAACAAAGGACGGATGGTTAGTCGAAGTGGCTTTTTGCGATGATTGTATACAGTGTTAGAGCACATAAAATGCCCATTTCAAATTTGTTTCCCTTATCTGCGGCGCGTTCCTGCACGAGAAATTATAAGCGTTTATTGGAGAGAAAATTGAAGGTGCAAATAATATAAGAACAGTGGTAACATTATTCCTAGAGCTTAAATGGACCAGAGGTAATCTTTCCACCACTCTATAGAATGAATACTCCTGGGTGAGATATATCCGCACTCCGGCTGTCTCATTCAAGCGCTGGGAAGACTTTAAAAACTGTTTTTATCCCAGGAAAACACTCATTCGCTCCTTTAACACATTCACGACAAGACCGATTTTTCGATTACTACCGTTTCGGACCAGAGCCTTTTACTTTGTCAAACTTACGACCCACCCGTGGGTCGTATTGTCCGAAATGGTAGTCTTTTTGGAAGAAATTCAAAACATGTCTTCGAGAATCTCCCCACAAAGGTTATCGAAGGCGCTGATTACCGAAATATGATTCATTTAAGTTTTTGGCAATATACGGCAAGGTTACGGTAGTCATTCTGTACGACATCATGGATTCTCATGAAAAATTGTGTTTTGGGGTTATTTCACGTGCTGATCACGATTATAGTGTCCACTTTGTTCACTACTTTCCCACAGTGTGACTACGGTAGCAGTACGGTAGAATTTTCGTAAGAATCAAGAAACTGATGTAAGAAGGCGGTATTAGGACTTAAGACTATCATTTTCGTAATCAGCATGCTAAAAAACTTATATAAAGGTTTGAGCTTCTTGGAATGAACAATGCGAAAAAACCAATAAGATCAATAAAACCGATAATTCTGATGGGCTGACATCAGTTTCGCGCCCTCCCTGTATCCCTCGTGCATGTAAACTTGAATTATCAAAAACAGCACCGCTCTGCGAAAAATTTGAGCTAAAGTCTGTGCCTTACTTATCTATGGTATACCTACCGTAACATTACACTACAGTATCCCGAATCCGGACCACTCTGGCTAGAGACTCGCCAAGGTGTCCATAATGTGCCAGAACCCCATCGTAGAATTCCATCGCATACTGGCCAAGCAGAGCTTCAAGAATCTTACGATCCACCACTGGGTCGTATTGTCCGAAACGGCAGAACACCTACGACCTACCGGTGGCTCGTATTGTCGTGAATGCAAACACTCATAAGTCTTCGTCGAGGAATGCGCCACACATAAGGAAGACATTTGGAATCAGAGTTTTATGCCCTCCATCCATCATGGAGTACAACCCATCTCAAAGGGCCACTTCGACCAACCATCCTTTCCTTGTAAGCAGCTTTCGAGGTTAAGCAACCATATTGTAGGGCTGGCTCAAATTTGGATTAGCAGTGGGAAACGGTTCACCGTAGGATTACGGTAAGAACTTATGAATAACTTGCGCCGTAATGGCATGTATTGCCCCAAGAGGACACTTGGTCATCAGATCAAATATCATTGCTGTTTCCATATATGGGCTTTCCGATTCAGCGTAATCACTTGATCAATAGTTACGACATGTATACAGTGGCAGCGGTTTTCGCAACAATTACCAAGGATCTGGGGCGGTATTTATCAATCTCCCGCTCGATGTTCGTGCGCGTTTTATCGTTATACTCGGGTCGGACGAGCGAGAATGTCCAAACCGTGATTTCTGTGAGGTTTCTTTTAGCATGACCTGAAGAGTACAGGGTTTCCGCAGAAATTTTACGGTTTTGATTCGCGATCCGTTTCTTCCATATCAACTTCCTTTTTGATACTAGTTTTTCCTTTCCAACGCTAGGTTTTCGCTTTTAACTAAGGCATTATTCCTTTGATTTGGAAATTCCTCTAGACTTTCTAGATGCTAAGAGACGTTGACAGCGAGATAGTTTTAATGAGAAAGAAAATGGCACAGTGTATTGTTTTGTGCAGGCACCTATAGAATCACAATAGGCCGAAGTTGATAATTGCAAATTAACATATCAGTGAAGTGTTCATAAATAAGTATACATAAAATCACAGAAGCATTTGAGTATATATGCTTAAGTGAAAAAGGTTGGAAAATTCGGCAAATATAAGGAATCAAAAGGCAATGTTATACTGATGGAAGAGTAAAGAATAGTGGAAGAATAACATAAAAACAAGAATATCAATTTCATTCACAAAGGATAATATGCGGGTAGAGGACTACATGTCGCCGAAAAAGGGCGGTCCGCGCGGTCATTTGCGACAAATACGCAAACTTGTACGTGCGCGGACATGCGTTCCTACAGGAAATCCGCGCGGGACTCGTCCAAATTCGGCGACATATAGTCCTCCACCCATAATATGCGCTTCAAAGGGAAGATGGTCCTGTGGGGGAAAAACCGTTTCCACTTATCGGGTGTCATTTTGGGCTTGTCCACGCGACTAAAGCCGGCTTCGGCCTCCCTTCCTTTCTGTAATGAGAATTAATTGAAATTTGTTGATGTAAATCGTGCCTTGCCGCAAGTGTTCCATTTTGCAACTTCTTCGCCAAGTAATACGGAGCAAATTTGGACGATTTATTTAGAAACAGCGATCCTACGGGTGGCTAGCAAGTGAGTCGGGGCAGATACAATGCAAGGGTTAGGACTATGAATATTTTTTGAAAGTTTCCTATTCCTTTCTTGAGAACATTTTTGCGAAAAGCATTCTACAGAAGGAGAACTGCTCGAAGAAGCGATAATCTCCACAAATTGAATATAGCATTTTTCGAAATTCCTGCTACGACCATGCATGGAGAGTATTGTTTTTCTCTCTTTTACCATTTCTTTCTGCAAATTTCCCCTCTTCACAGAGACATTCAGACATTCCCCCCCCCATTCTATCCTTTTAAAGAAAATTTGCTCTTCAGTTCTTCTCAACAAGTCCATAAAAGATCGTTAAGTCAGTAGCGGAACACCTATCGTTTTGGAAGTAGAAATACACCCACAACAATTATTTGTACTACAAAAAACACCTTCCTCTCGGAATCAATTCTAACGGCAACGAAATATCGTCTACGAACCTGTCAAAGAATCCTTCATTTTTTTCGCCAAAGGAATATGAAGCTTTACTACAAAAGGAGATCCCTCTCCAAAAAGCACAACTACTGAGCCACCCAAAGACCGTCAATCATAAGAACTGCACAAACGTACAAAAAATTTGTTTCCCTGTCCGATCAAACTGCACTATATGCCGCTTACAAAGCAATAATATCTGTCTGAAAAACAGTTCATGCCCTAGGTGCTACTTGAAGACCGTTTAAAAATTATAAGAACTGTCCCAAACGTACAAAAATCTGTTTCCCTGCCCGGTCGAATTGCCCTACGTGCCGCTTACACACCGATACCTAGTTGAAAGCACCAGCCGGACTCAGTTACACAAGCAAAAGCATGGCTGTTGCTAGATAAATGCTTCCAAAGTATCAGCGAGACCAAGTTACTCGAGCACTCTCTTTTCTACACGAGGAAGCAAGATAATCCTAAAGTGACTGTTCTTAGTTAGAGCATTTTTACCAAAATTTACATAGATGAATGTAGCCCAAGTCACGCTGTTACGCAATTTGGCATCATTTCAAAAGCAACTAGTAAGAGTACAACATATTTGGAAGACCTATTTTGGGATAACAAGCTCGAAAAAAGCAGGTACAAATAACACATCCGGACACTGGCGATCCAGTCTCAAAATCGTTGCGACATTCATGATTGCCTTTCGAAATATTTGTGACCCTTCTACGAAAATATGCTTGGTCACTCGTTATGAAATTTGGCAGCGTTCCAAAACGCATGCCACTTGGCAGCAACCCAAGAATGAACATCTGTACATTTCATCATAATTTCTCCGTCTGTTGTCTCCTTTTGTCGTGTTCCACGGATCAGGGGTAACCAAGTGGTAAACAACGAATCCAGAATATATTACGTAGTGATTTTGGGAAATTTCGAAATCTTAACAAGAGAAGCCTGAGACAAATTTGAAAATTACAAGCGTTTTCTGCAAAAGTTGAGGCTTTACTTCGACTTGAATTTTTTTGGAATTTCCAAATTTGGAGCAGCAGAACTTTTGTTCATTCTAATATTCCAGCATTTTCCACACAAAACAGGCCTAAGGCAGGTATGTGTAAGTGAAAGTTACTTTAAATTATTGTTGAATTTTCATAAATTATTACTTAGAAAATAATACTAATGAACCAAAAGCTCGTCCCCACCCTTTTCAAAAATTTGAAACTTTCTCCCTTCACATCCGATCTGCACATGTTTATTTTGAAAGAAGACATGCTCTTTCTAATGGTACCTGAGGCACTTTTTGATAGCTCCAGAGATCGAAGTCGGTAAAGAAAGTTACTTCATTTTACTGTTCCCCATGTTTGGTCGAAAAAATCGCTTGCAGAAAATCGCAGCAATCAGTATCATGGCTATTATTACCTACTCTTTTTGAGTGTACAAAGATTGCGCTGATTGAACGTCTATTAAAAAGTTTGGTTTTTGAGGAAGCCGTAAAGAAGAGTATATATGATTTTTTGGCATTGGCTTCGAAAATCATAACTTTTTATAAAGGGATTCAATCAGCGCAAACTTGGCACAGTCAGAAAGAGCAGGCTATAAAACCAATAATTCTCCGATTTCCGTTGCGAGTTACAGTTTTGCGACCAAACGCAGAACTTTTGAAAATGGAGTAATTTTTTTCTCCGGCTTCTATCTCTAGAGCTTGTTTCCATTATACGGTACTTCAGGTAGGTACTATTGGAAACAAGAATTCGAAAATAAACATGCGCGGATCCGTTGAAGATGT